TAAGCCCTCCTCTCTGACCTCGTAGTCCCTGGCCATCTTACTGCACGAGTGAGCGGTCTCCATGGATAGGTCGACCCAATCTCCCTTCAATTACGCTTCAGATCTCGCACCCAGTCTTTTTGCTCTTGTGCCTCCCTGATTCGATCTGTCCGGAGTCGTTGTATCACACCCTCTTGCAGGATTTCCCCTGACATCTTGATGGGAGCTCGAGACCGAGTCACTGCAAACACCTTGGCCGGTGGACTTTGGTCCTTGGGAACTCGTAACTTAGGCAATCGATTGATCGCTTCCAAATTTGGCCATTCTCCTTCCGGTATCGATGTGATCCCTTCCTTCTGAAGCAGAGTTGTACTAGCCAATTGGTCGGCACTCTGATTCCAATCACGTTTTACATATACGATCCCTTGGGCAGGCCACAACAACAACTTGCTCAAGATTTTGCTCGTAACAGGGACAATACTGAAGCCTTACACTCGATCTTTTCCCCGCATTTGTCGTACCACTAAGCTGGAATCTCCACAGATGATCAATCGTCTTGGTTCTAGAGGCCCTTACAAATCGATAACCAGTAGAATACCATCATATTCAACCTCATTCACTGAAGATGTAACTAGGAGCTTTGAGGCAGCCTTGACTATGGTCCAATTAGGTAATCTCCATACAATAGCGCTACAAGCTCCACCTCCCTATTTCACTCGGGCGGACCAATTAAAACTCATGACGTATAACGCTTCGTCAGGCTCCACAGTTGCTGTAGGTAGGTCGACTACTTGCCGCGCCTGTTTCTTAGGGGCAATTGACGACAAAATCGAGTCCACACTCCTACGAGGAGTAATACTGGCTGTGAGCGGCCCCAGTTCTTGGTCCTCGCTCTTCCTGCACTTAACAATCTCCATAGTCCATTGGGACAAGAGGGCAGCCCAATTACCAAGCCGTCCCTGTAATTCCGTAGACCTGACTAGCCACGCCAATGTTGGATGTCTCTTCAGGACCTTGAGGGGTCGAGTGACCAACATCGTAAAACAAGTTTCCATTATTCCGTAATATAGCCAGCACTTCTTTCTCTATCATACTGTAGTTTAACTCGTTGGCCTTAAGGGTTCGACTCGTAAAAGTCACTGGCCTTAGAATGCGACCATGGTCTTGCACCAACGACGCGGATATGGCCCATTCACTTGCATAAACGATAATTACTGCCTCCTTAAACGGGTCAAATTGTCGCAAGATAGGTGCAGTGGCAATCTTGTTCTTGAAAATAGCGAAGGCTACTTAGACCCTGGACCATTTTCCCTCGTCCGCTGCCTTAACCACCCCACTGTCCCCCGTCTTCAACCTACATCGCCAATCGTGAATATCCACTTTCCGTAACTCATAGAAAGTCAATGAGTAAACTTCATAATCTTCAATAAATCTACCATAGTAATTCAGACTTCCAAGAAACGATTGCATGGCTTTGAGTGTCACGGGCAACGGTAGGTCGACCAGGAAACGGAGGTCCTTTAGGTGGGCCTCTACTCCTTGATCCGAGACCCGGTGCCCAACGTAGTCTACCTTTCGGCACCCACATGAGCGCTTGACCGCGCTGATCGATAGATTACAACAGTCGCACACATCTAATAGTCGCTCAACCATGGCGCACAACATATCCCACGAGTCGGCCGGTATCAAAATGTCATCTATGTAGGACCGCCGACCCAGTACCGAGGGACCCGACTTTACATCAGGCTCTCCCATCGTAAATAAGTCTTTGGTCTCCTCTGTACCAGCTCCTTGAGAAAAACCCATACAAAGCATTATCCAAGAGTCTCTGATATATCCGAGGCGCGTTCTTGAGTCCAAATGGCATCCGTAGCCATTCGAACAACCTCAATGGAGTGACAAAAGCCGAGATCCTTCTTGCCCTTTCGGTCATGCCGACGACCCAAAACCCACTTGCCATGTCCAGGAAGCAGTACCACAATACTCCGTTCAGATCCTTCAACAATTTATTTAAAAAAAAAAAGGGGGAAATTATAAACTTGTTCAAATTCTTCTCCCACCCATTAATAAAAAAAAACCTAAACCCCCCCCCCATTTTTTCTTCACGATAATGACGATTGGTCTTGGCCCATGGCGAGGTAGAAGGCTGGATGATCTTTGCAGATAATGGTCCCTTGATCAGATCGGCCAACTTTTCTTTAAACTGGGGGGGTCACTTTCTTTACACGTTGTTCAATCGGCCTAGCATTACCTACATCGATGTCACAGATAGCCCCTCGAGGAGCCGGCGTTAAGGCGTTGCTCTTTTCCATGAGTAGATGCCTTCTTCTCCATATAATTTACCTCAGTCGATCTACCTCCTCTGGGGTGTTTCCGTCAGGGTCAGGAATCTGTATATCTTTCAGCTTGATACTCGTAGATGAAGAGTCAATCTCCGGTATGCCTATCCTTGGCTTACATCTTCGGCCCAGAATTACCCACTTTCAAACGTGCACAATTGGTCATCCGCTTGTGGCGACTCTACCAGCGATCCTTCGCCTTCTTTTGTCTGTCCCACTTGGTCAACCTGGGAAACCTCATGGGTCTACCTGGTCGACCTGAGGTTCTTCTTGATCGAATTCGGTTGAAAATGCCATAGTCATTACTGGAGCAAGTACCTTGGTCGCGGAAGTATTATAGATGGAGTACTGTACTGTTGTACCTCCACCAATGGTCCTTCATCCTTCTCCGTCAGGTCTTCCTGATATTCTACCTGGTCGGTGGTCGACTCATACACCAGGTTTAACCACTCGGCATATCTTCGAGACCTTATCAAAACAAAACCCTGCGCTCTTGGTACTTGGGCCTTCGTCAGCCACATGCCTATCTTGGTGTCCTCGTGTAATATTAGAGGTTAGGCACTGACATTAGTTACCTTCAGAAACTTCCGACTTCCTACCCCTTGGCTCACGGTCGTGATCCATCGTTCTACCCTTGTGGCCCACAACTTCCATTGGTGCGGGGTCGAACTTTTCAGAGGCATTTCTTTGTACCCTCCAACCGGTATATGCACGTATCGACCCAGCTTTACGTCTGATACCCGGTTATCGTAAAGGTTCTTTCGTCCTGCTAACTGTACTTGTACCTCATCGGGCAGACATAGTGACCCATCTGCCAGGTCCAGTCGAATACCGGCTGCGATCATGAAGTCCATGCATAAAATTACATCCTGACCCACCATTGAGCCCATCCACACCTTAAAAATGTATACCAAGTTTCCATTCAGAGCGACCTTAATACGGGTGCGTCCTTCCGTGGTATACACGAAATCTGCGCTACCAACACATTCTTGGCGCTCACTTTCATCAAACTGGCAGCCTACCTTACGAGCAAAGGCAATATCCAAAATAGATATCTCGGCGCCAGTATCGAGCAACAAGTTAGCTCGATCGTTGTTAATCTTCCCAGAGGCCTTTTCCTGTTCGAAACATTTCGTAGGATCATGGTATTTCCAATATTCCCTCGAATCGCCCGGAAGTATGTCCAGCTCCATCACTGCACTTTCCCGAACAAAATCAATAGACACACCGAAAGAAGCAACATGGACCCTAGGGTAACTTTCAAGCTTCGATATATTTCCCATCGAGTTAACCTGAATGCCCCCTCCTCCCTTAGGTCGCTTTTCCACATGTGCAAAAATGCAACAATTGTAACACTCGGCTCGTACTAGATTCAAACCTGGCGAGCGTCCTAATTTAGCATCTGCTCGACCTTCTCCGACAACATTCCAGCGTTCTAGATCGGTTGTACCACTGATGGATCAAGTTATAAAACTCTTTCATCGGGCACTTCCCAATCTCGTGGGTTTCTCCACAACCTCGACATACGAACAGGCAACGATCTGATGGATGACCGTTAATTTTTCCCACAGCGATTTCAGGTCAGCCTCCTACCCTAGTGGTCCGGGAGCAAGTAAAGGCCAGGCGGTTAATACCCTTGAAACATCAAGGAAGGGAAAAGGACAGGGTTGAGTATCTCCCCTGAAGAATCTGGTTATAAGTCCACCCTCGACCTAGTCGACCGAGTGGTCACCTATCCGCCTACCGAGTGAAGTATACCCACTCGAGGCACCCAAGGAAGACCTCTCTCAAGGCCGACATCACATCTTAACCAAGTCCTCCGAAGAGTGCAACCCGACAGCCGACGGGTACAAAAAGTGAGAAAAGGTCTATACGCGACATCGGGGTACCCCTTCCGACAGTCGGCAGTCCGGCACATTGAGTGGCTTAAGGTCTCATACCGCAGTTTTGAGAGCCTACGCCACCACAAGACCAGAGATGACACACAGTGATGGGCACGCTGGATGTGTGCCTGGTGTACCTTGACTAGGTCAAGTTGCAGTGCTGGTCATCAAGCTGCATATGGTAGGGTTTACAACGAAGGGCCATTAGCACTCAATATACTCTACTTTTCTATCTACTTCTACTGCACAAGTGCAACTACATTCTAATAGACGTTTCACGGTGGTCAGGACTGAACATTCCTACGTAACTTTATAAAGGATTTTAGTGTAACAACCAATGCATTAGGTACACCTGAAGCATTCGAAGCGGCTAGAGCGGAACTCAATGCAGGGCATCATTATTCCCCGGCGGACTTTCCGCCTGCTCCTAGCCATTTGACCATTTTTTATGGCCAATCAACTGGCAGCAGAATTTGTTAATTTTGCTCACGAGTAATGGAGCTAGTGAGCTTATTGATCTGGTAATTCGTAGCGGACAGCGCGGTGGTTGGCGTCCAAGAGATACTGTGAAGCAGCACAAGTTGTATGAACGATCTTATCAAGCTGATGGCCGTGAAACATTAGCTTGGAATGATCCCAAGGCTGCATTAACGTGTGTTGTAGAACCAACTAAATCAGCTGGTTTTTATATGGATTTGGAGGAAATGAAACAGTACATTGCAACTGATTGCCCTGATAACCACACTATTATTATTGATGAAAGCATGCAACCATGGGGGGACTAAAATGGCGTGAAGATTTACTTGTTCACCAACGTGAGTAGATTAAACAGCTGAGTGAAACCCGTCAAATTATGGTCTGGGTCATGACGAGCTGGACCAAGATCTGGTCTTGCACGGTGCTGCGTATATGTAGTGTTGTGGGCCTTACACCCGAGGACGGTGCTGAGATTAAGCGCAAGCAAGCGCCATGGTCTGTTAATTCCGTAGCGTTGGACTTTCTCACGTCTTCTGCAGGAAAGCGATGACGCTTACCTGCAGAAGACGTGGGATGTTACGCCCAAGTGGCGTGTACACGCGATTGAACTGCTGACTAAACGCTGTCCAAACTTGGATTTCTTGGACAAACCTTTTTTATCATGGATCTGGTTGAATACCAAGTCGGCTGACATAAGCGAAAACGCCTGTAAGTTGGCCAAGGAGCATGGCGTACCTGTTCTCAGTGATAAACCCAGCTTTAACCTTCCTACTTTCGTACGCATCGCTGCCCGTAGTCCAGACCAGACGGCTGTGCTACTCAAGGCTTGAAGCAACTTAAGCAAACTTTATGCTGCAAATCAGCAGTTAAATTCCTCACTTGCTTTCTTCTTTTCGAAAACTGGATACATCACTTAAAACAATATCCAGCTTGGTGTAGCCGAGCTATTGTAGCCACGCTACTTATGCTCTACGTGCAGAGGAAGACAAGCTCTGAGAGCTTTTATGTCTTAGGGTGCTTAACCCTTATAGGCTAGCTCGTAAGCTTGTGCCTATCGGTATTAAGATACTAGTCTCAGAGAGACTAGTATCAAAGATACTGATTCCTTACATGGAATAGAACGCTCAAGCTGTAAGGCTTACAGAGCAGGTTTGAAACTGATTTATATTTATGTCTATCTTCTAGCACTAAATATAGAAGCAGCTACTCTATATATAGTGCTAGTCACTATTTACTGACTCTTTAGCCTTATATTATTATGCAAATATGCATAGTCAGCATACTTTAAATGACCACGTGGCTCTCTGTCACGATGCGACCCTTCGTACTTCAGGTATGGTCACATCACCTACTGTTGTACCCAAGGTACAACCACACCACATTGGTGTGGCAAGTGTGCATGTACAAAACACACCTTCGTGCAACTCTGTTACACTCGGAGTGTTTTTATTACCCAAATGTCTTTTTCTTGTCCATAGTTTTCATTACTTTCTGTCAGGCGACATACGCATTAATACCATTGAAAATTGATGTCATCTCATTTGTCGAATTAGAAGCTTCACTAATAGCATCAAAGATACCACTACACTTGGACATAACTGCCTGAATGTAAGCAGTACGTCTGTCATAGTAAGGTCATGTGAGACATGCAAAACGGTCATCAAGATCACAAAGATATGACTCATAAGCCAATTCAAACCAACGATGCCACGTGAAGAAAGCGCAAGAATATTCCGCTTGGGCCTGGCCCAATGAGTCAGCTGCAATTTGTGCAAAATCCGCATAACTCCATCAGCCATCGCCGTGTTATTCGCTTCAAGATATAATGCTGGTTTGGTTGTATCAAGTGCGCGCTCAAGCCGTCGCACACGTTGAGTACCGCAAAAATCGTTGCCACCGGGTAATCCAGTCACATTTTTGACTGCGCTAAGGATAGTTGGGTAGTAAACGTCTGTGGTAGTGACCGTCTCAGCAGCAGAGGACGCAGCAAGAAACAGTACTGGTCAAATCGATTCCAATGCAGTTGACAGTCTCATGGAGACAAAATGTTGAAAAGATGAAGTTTGAAAGGTACTTGTAGGCCAGAGTGTCTCAATGAACTCTTCCTTGAAGATGGAAAATGGCAATGTACGAACCACAGCTAAAATAAAAAATTATCATTTTCCTTTTCGTTACCAATACTAAGGCGAAGATGGAGCAAATTCATGTTAATGACAATGATTATCAAAGCTGACGGTCTCGAACTCTAATCCGTCCGTAGTGATAGCCACTTATCGTCCTCGTTCAAGCAAATTTACCACTGCGTAACTAACAGCTAGCTTTAATTCCGCTTGTAAACCACTGCAACTATGAGTGGAAGCTAGCAAAGAAATTTAATTTAGAACCACTACCTAATCTTCAAAAAAAGCTTACTCTCTGTCATTGTTCCGTGAAAGACGCCAAAAATTATCAATCGCCTAGATGTACCAGCTTGCCGGACATTCTTCCACCCTCACCCGCAACGATTCAACCAAATGGTTCCTGCTGAGATTCTGCAGCGTCTATCTCGGCAACAACTTCATCCTTCGTCGTTTACAATTCATTTAATTGGCCTAACAACAAATATCTCAGAATCATACTCCATTGGCCAATGTATGTGGCGTGCCAAGAAACCCTTGGAATCGAGCTGCATCCTCCTTATTTTGTTGAGCTTGAGCAGAAGGTATACGCACGAACGGTTCTATCGATAAGGCCAATCTGGGATGTTCAAGACCATGAGCACTAACTTTGTCTTCAAAATCCCTCTTTCTTATTTTGTCCTTAGGCAGCGACGACTCAATCGGTCGGACGTCGTCACCAACAAGGCCAATCTCGGGATCTTCAAAATCATGAGCACTCTTCCCATCTCTAGAATCCACCTTCTTCTTTTTCCTTGGCCTTTTTTCTTTTTCCTTGGACACCGACGACTCAATCGGTCGGACGTCATCACCCATAAGGCCTATCTCAGGATCTTCAAAATCATGAGCACTTTTCCCATCTCCAGAATCCGCCTTCTTCTTATTTCCCTCATGCAGCGACGGCTTCATCGGCCGGACGTCGTCGGCTGCGAGGCCAATCTCGGGATCTTCAAAAACATGAGCACTCTTTTCATCTCTTAGGAATTTAATTTCTTCTCGAGCATTGCCAGCTTTACCCAAAATGAGCTCTGTTGTCCACGGAAATGCGACGCGCATCATCATCAAGAAAACGACGAATCTCATCAAATCCCTTGCTTGCCACCAATTTGTTGATCAAAATTTCGTGCGGGGCTAGTTCTGCACTCCAACAGAAAAATGTCCACTCCAAAAACAAAGGATAGCGCATTATGTCGTACGTTCCGTCATTATAGCGCAGAAGATCGAGGACGTCGTCAGTATTCACAAGACCTTTTTCCCCAGTACTTCAATCGCTCGCGCCGCCAGGTATCAATGAGGGATTTTGACTCCTAAGGATAGATGTCACTCTTTTCGAGAAATTTACGCAAGTTCGTACTTCCGAAACGTTCTGTCAAAAAATCGATTATCACACGGTTTAAAACAACACGCACTTCACCATGTGACCTCATATCCGATATCCAGCTTTCAATATTCTCTGCAACTTTGTCCAGGCTGACTTCACGAGGAACATACCGATCGAACGATTTAGCTATAGCGGTCTTCATATCGACTTCAGATAATTCCTCCCGTGGGTGCGCACGTGCCGCTATTGTCCCCGCCTTCAATTCTGGAATAGCCATCAAACCATGTTGCACGACCTCGATTGCTTTACTCGCTACCGCTTTGGTGTCCGCTCGGATCCATTATCTTCGAGTTTTGAATTTGAAACTTGGTTACTCACAATACTGCCCTTTAAATTAGCATTGCGAACAGATTGAGTACTAGGTACAGACAAAACGAAACTAAGGGCCACTCCAGCCAACTATACGATGCATTTAATATCTCGAACGAATTGGCGAGTCATACTTGTTGCGCCTCTTGGGTAAGGGAAAACTTATCGAATTACAACTTTACATTTTTTTAGTAATGACACATTTGCCTGACTTGCCTAGATGTATCCCTACACATTTTTTCAGTAATCTAAGCTTCTAGAATTTCGAACTCACCTTAAGGGTACCTAGTTTAGCGTCACATCTGATCCAACTAGAATGATTAGCGTTGAAGTCAATGTTTTAGAAACTTATCTGTTCCGAACGGAAGGGCCTACAAACCAGAAGTGACAGTAGTTAGAGATTCGGACGGACAGCATTCACCTGCCCTAATTCTGACAGTACGAATAGGTGCCAAAACTAATGGCTTGTAAAATTGATTTTGTTATAAATAGCCATCGAATCAAGAACTGCTTTTAATATTGCGGTTCAAATTTAAGTACTGCCGTCTGCTTGATGCAGTGTATACTTGCTTTCTAACTGCTGACCTCCACTTGATGCAGTGCATACTTGCTTATTAACATCTGCCCTCTACTTGATGCAGTGCATACTTGCTTTCTAACATCTGCCCTCTACTTGATGCAGTGCAGACTTGCTTTTTTAACTGCTGCTGCAGTGTATACTTGCTGTAACGGGGATACACGAAGGTGTGTAGTCTACATATGCACCTGCCACACCAATGTGGTGTGGCTGTACCTTGGGTATAAAAGTAGGTGATGTGACCGTACCTGAAGTTCGCATCGTGACCGAGAGCCACGTGGTCACTATACTCATTTAAAGTATAGCGACAATCCATGTTTGCATAATACGTGGTCACTATACTTATATAAAGTATATTTACTACGTGGCTCTCTGCCACGATGCGACCCTTCGTACTTCAGGTACTTTTGTACCCTAGGTACAGCCTCACCACATTGGTGAACAAGTGTGTATGTACAATACACACCTTTGTGTAACCCCGTTACAATTTGTTTAATGCTGCATGAGTTTGTTCAAAATTGGTTGACAAAATACAGTTATGCTCTGGGTAAATTGCAATGCAGTATGACGTCAAGAAACAAATATTTGCACACATTTACGTCCCTGACGCCACCTCCTACCTCTTTAACATATAACTTCGCAAAAATCTACGTACTCAAGGTTCGCAGCCCATAATGATACAAGTGATCTCATCACTCGTAGTAATACTGTGCAGCTTCACTTCCGCACTTTTTTCTTTCTATATCGAGTATTGTTGCTGCCGCTGCTGCGCCGGTGAATAGTGCCTCTTTTTCTCTGCTTTGTTGTATCTCCATTCCAACGCTTTGCCCTCGTGAGTATAACCAAAAAGGCTGGGATTGAAATCATAGCGATTGCTCTAGAAATCATGAAGGCTTTGGCAGCAACAGTTTCAGCAACAACAGCTAGCGCAGCAGATGCATAAATTTTTGTAGAGTCCACAACCTCAATAGCTTTGTCTTCCATGTCGTGTAGCTGAACATCGCACAGTTGACGCCATTCATTAGACTCCTTGAACTGGTTGAACGTTGCGTCGATACTATCATCGTCTCCGGGTAGAAACACTGCCACACCATCACTTAGTCTTCCAACAAATGCCTCTGGTGTAAATT